GTTTTTCCCGGCCGGCCTTCCTTGAAAGAGGTTTTCTTCACGGGCCAGGGGGCGTTTTTCGGAAAGCTCGCCCGCTTGAAAGGCAAGAAGCTCCCGGGGGCAGGCGGTTGGGGCTTCTCCCTACCCCCGAGGTCGAAGGGCGTTCCGCTCCAGCGACGGACCAGGCGGTCGCCCTGGCAGCGAAGGCGTGAGAAGGGTTGCGGGGCAAGAGACGCTCCCAGGGATGGCGACTAAACCGATTGTGCCCCCGCAGGTGACAGCTGCCTGCGCCAGCATCTCACCCGCCAATCTCTCGACAACGCCGATGCTGAGGGCGGATGCAGCAGCGGCGGCGGACATCGATGGTAAGTCGCGCGACGAGATTAACCGAGATTGGCAGAGATGTGTTCGGCGAGATTAGCCGAGATATATTCTGCGAGATCCAGCGCACTCACCAATTCACACACCCAATGCTGTGAACAAAAGGCGATGTGCCGATGGCCGAGGCGCAGGAGGACGACGAGGAGCAGGGGGGCGAGGAGGAGGGGGGGGAGGGCGAGGAGGAGGAGGAGGAGGAGGGTGGCGGTGCTGGGAGTGAAGAGGTCTAAGCCTTAATTATGAACGGCGCCTCTTCACACCTCTCGCCCCGTGCATAGGTGACGGTGTGATGGGTGAGGCGCGCCGCCTGCTGCACGGGCGGGCGAGCGTCCCCCTCAAGTCCGGCGGCAAGCTGCTCCTGCGGCAGTTCGGTTCTTTGCCGGGTCGAATGCAGAAGAAGTTCCTGATGGACCCGGTCTTCACCAAGGCCTCTCAGTCATGGCGCCATAATAATGTGTCTGCAGCCTCCCCCGTTGATCCTCTCTGTCTCCCACACGTAGGCGCACGTTTTTCGTCTTCAAGTTTACCTGGCGTGGGTGCCCGCCGGAGCGGTGCCGCTTGCGCTGCACCGAGATGGCCCGCCACTCGTCACCGTCGGCCGCCTCTGCGCGCGCTACGGGCTCGTGGCGTGACTGACAGACTCAGCCGGCGTCGACACACTCTCGCTGCATTTGTCTTGTGTTTTATACATTATCACAGCGTGTCCGAATTGTGCATCCCAGGGTTCTTTTTTGCTTTGTTGTCGAGGCGCCTTTCACGACGGGAGGAGGGCTCGGCGGTGGCGGAGACGGTGGCGGCGGCGAGGGTGGGGGCGGAGAGGGCTGAGGCGAGGGGGGCGGCGGGCTCGGAGGAGGCGGCGTGGGCGCACGCGCTCTTCGAGCTGCTCTCCACTCGCTGCCCGCACTCGCCCAGCGCCTCGTTCTTCATTTCGGGGGACGACCAGACCGCCGAGCAACGCGCCCGCACCCAGGCGCTGTACGCCGAGGCGCTGCTCGAGGACAAGCACGAGTCAAAGGTGACGAAGCTCAACCACATCAACAAGTACGTCGAGGGCCTGGCGAACGCCGAGGCGCGCGAAAACGGGCGGCAACTTCCGCTGCCGGCGTGGCACCGCGGCGCGGGCGGCTCGCTTGGCAAGCACAAACTGGTGTGGCAGGAGGGGAAGCGCACCGTCGTGCTCGCGGCCGTGCCCAAGGCCCAGCTGAGCCTCCCCTCCGGCTGCACGCGGCGCGATCACCCATGGTACTACGGCATCGCGTCGATGCTCATCGAGGTGGACGAGCCGAGAGCCGGGAAAGAATGTATGTTCTTTATAGGACAGGAGAAAAGACGAGCACTTGTTGTGTGTTGTGTGTTGTTGTGGTGTGCGGTGTGCGGGGTGTGTGTGTGTTGTGCGTTGTGTGTTGCGTGTTGCGCGCCGGGAAAGAATTTTCAAGCGCGATAATAACGCGCATCTCGTGCGAAGAGAGATAGGAAGAGGCAGACTCCCTAGGGTGGGCGACGGCTAGCGCATCACACACCTCTCCTTAAAATCCCTGTGTGGTGGCGGCGTGCCGTCCTCCCATCCCTCCCTTGGGCTGTCTGTTTTCTTTCTTTTTTCTCGTGTGATCTCTCCCTTGGGTTGTCTGTTTTCTTTCTTTCTTTCTTAGTGTGAGGTGGCGTACGGCGTGTTCGAAGGACCGACACGATTCGGAAAGAGCGTCCCGGGAGACACACAGGTAAAGGATCCCAACGGAATCGGACCCTCGTGTGAAGAAGGGGAGATACGGACAGCGTTTGGGGCGGGAATGTGGGGAGGAAAGCTGCCGAACATGTGGGAGCCGATAGACGCGGAGATGTACGCGATACTCGCATACTCGAGTACTTACGCAAAATGGCGAGCGCGAGCGATGCGCAATCGCGGCGGTGCTTAGTGCTATGCGACTGCAAACCCGCGCTGCAGCAGATTGAGAATGCGCACCGCAAAGGGATGCCAGAAGGCCTGAGGGACTGGGAGAGAGGCGGGCTCCTGGAGGCGATTGCTCACTATAGATCGAAGCTAGAGGCGGTGGTCTTCATGTGGGTGGGTGCCAGCACACGTGGGAATAGCCTGCAACGCATACGCCGACGCGGTGGCGACAGCACACCTCGGGGATAACGACTCAGAGGACGCCTCGAAAGTGGTGCGGGACGCGGTGCGGACGCGGCCATGCATGTACACGGTGCGAAGGGAGGCGGCAGAGAACGCAGAGAAGAGGGAGATAGTGGACCGACGGACGTACGGACACATGTGTAAGAGCGCGCACGAGTGGGTGTGCGAGCAATATCGAAAGACAGTGAGGCCGGGATCGCACACGGCAGGGGTGGCGGGACGGTTGTGGAGCGAAGTGGCAGTAGCCAGCCTCAAGCATCGATGGGATAATAAGATGAGATTACCGGACGAGAACGGGGGGAAGGACAGGCGGGCGACATTTGACGACGTCGGGGATCACAATGTGACGACCAAAACGATCTTGGGGGCCAGGGTGAGACAACAGGTCGGGGTGCCACACGGGGCACACCACAGGCGTATTCTAGAGGGGGAAAAGAAACGGGGAATGAGGGGCCCCGCCACGAGAAGTGCGTTCTGGGGATGCAGAGCGTGCAAAGCGGCTAGGGATGAGGCCACAAAAGAGGCGCGCGAGGCAAGGAGGAGACGCGGGGAACTGAAAGACTGGGACGACTGGAAACAAGAAGACAGTGAGCCACCACAGGCGTCGTTGGCGCACATACTGAGCGGCAGCTGCGCTGGAAATAAGGAAGAGGCGCGTCACTTCATGCGGAAGCTCGACAAACACACAGCGAGGGCGACAGCAAGAGTTGAACGGGAGGCGCCGGACTCAAAAGACACCGCCACATTCCTGAGACGAGCGAGGGCAGCCTCCTTAAAGGCGAAAGGGTCTAGATTTGGAGCGCTCGCCGAAGAGGAGTACGACAAAATAGCGCCCGTGATTGCCTGCACGCTACCCGCACTCACGGACTCCATACCCGAAAGAAAGAGAAGGGAGCTCGCGGGAGAGGTGACGAGTGAACTACAGGTAGTGGGGAAGGCAGCCTCGATTGCCATACAGACATGGGTGCGAAACAACGACAAGACCAAGGCACGGGCAGAGGAACGAGAGAAGAATATAGGGTGGATAAAGCGCCTGTTCACGGCATGGAGGGTGAGCCACACCGAACGTACCGAGCGAAGAGCCGAGCGGAAGGAGGACGGGGAAGATGACTCCGAGGAGGACGAACCAGTGGAAATCCAGTTGTCAGATGTCACGATGCATCCGAAGGGGACCCCAGCGCCGGCATCATCCGTAGAGGCACGAGTGTTCGAAGAGAGAGTGGACCTGAGCAACAACATGACCTGTAGGCAAATGATCGGAGTGGGAGTCAGAAATGTGGTCCTTGCGCGAGGGGAGCTCGATAGACTCGAGGGGCCAGGATACGCCGCGAGGAGGACGGAGTTGCGCCGAAAGGCGAAAGAAACCGCGAGAACAAGGGACCGGCAGGCGGCGGCGTCACAGGACGAGGCAGAAGAGAACGACGCGACAGAGGAGGAAAAAGTGACCCATAAAGGGATGGGTGGATGAGAGAACGACGAGAGTGGGACGACCGCGAGGTGGCATGAAGGTTGCAGCGAGAAGCGGCGAGAGACTGCGAAGAGAGATAGGAAGAGGCAGACTCCCTAGGGTGGGCGACGGCTAGCGCACCACACACCTCTCCTTAAAATCCCTGTGTGGTGGCGGCGTGCCGTCCTCCCATCCCTCCCTTGGGTTGTCTGTTTTCTTTCTTTCTTTCTAGTGTGAGGTGGGTAAAAAGGAACAGGTCCCCGCCCTTGCGATCTTTGTGCAGGGTTCTTTGTGGGTGTGGTCGGCGACTAGCCGGGGTCGTCCTCCCGATGGGGGACTAGAACTAGCCGTCTTCCACATGGTCCCTCGGGTCCCTACTGCTCCTAATTTCTTCGTACATCCTCCTGCTGATCTCCGCAAAGTCCTGCTCCCTCCCTCGTCTCGCCCTGCGCGTCTGCTCCGCCTCCCCGTCGTTTCTGCCCTGCGTCGTCTGGCGACGGGTCCTCCATAGTCGGTCGAGGTCGCCGCCCTCCTCGACCTCGTGCCTCTTCCCAACGTTCCCTCGGCGGCCAATGGCGATGCCGTCTGCTCCGGGTAACGCAGACTGCACTCCAAGTGCTCCAAGTGCTCCCTCCCCCAGCTCTTGACAGCTCCGACAGCGTCTGACAGCAACACCCGACAGCTCCGACAGCGCCCGACAGCTACAGATCCCCTCGACTGTCAGACACGCACCCGACAGCACCCGACAGCACTGACAGCACCTGACAGCTGGTCTGACATAGGCACCTGACAGAGCCTGACAGTGCCCGACAGCCCGACAGATCACCTGACAGCCTGACAGCCTGACAGCCAGGGCTCAGGCCGCCGCGCGCCCCCGGCCCGCGCCGGCCGGGCTCGCGTCACGCTCACGCGTCACGGGCGTGATGCGCGTGTCCCTCGAGGCGTGACGCGTGGTCGGCCCCGTGACGTGAGCCGTGTGGTTTTGTGCCGCGAAGAGCGCGGATCGCGATGTGGAGGTTCTCCAGTGCTCAATATTTACCGGTATGGGAGTTTTTGGCTAATCAAACCCTAGGCCTGAACTAATCAAAAAGTGGTATCGAATACCACTTGCCTCACGGAAAGCAAAGCGAGTGGGAGTGCCTTTTTGGTGGCAAAATCGGCAAAATCGGCAAATACCGGGTATTTTTTGTGGGTATACCTGTACCTGGAAAAACCCGGGTATACCCGGGTAATACCTGTGCACTTTTGCATGCTTTCGCCTTCGGGACCACACACACAGCCGCTACACTAATGAAAATCAAAAACCCCGCATACCACTTTCGCATACCACTTTACCATACCACTCCAAAACTAATCAAAATATCACCAAATACCAGTCTCATACCGGTAAATATTGAGCACTGAGGTTCTCGATGCGCAGAAAAAAATCGTAGAGTGATTCGCGTCGTTCGGTTTTTTGTCAATTATACTTAAGTCTTTTTGTGCATCTGGTCTCATCACGAACACGAACACACCACCATGCACACAGCGGTCAGCGCGCCACACAACGATCAACGTCAACCGCGAGCGCGAAGCGTTCAAAATCTCAGAAGCGTGACTGCTCTCATTCATAGTTACGCATAATGTACTCAGCAATCGCGACGAGGAGAGGAGCATATCCGATATCGTATAATGTAAAACACATCGGTCATCGCGACCCCCGGGCCCTACTCTGCTACTCGTGTCGACATACTGGGCTGGGTCTTTAGACATTGTGGGGTTGGCACTCCCATCGACCCTCATGACCTCCTGCGGTCTCTGAGATGGACACCAGTGGGTGTGGGACCACAGCCAGGATACACTCGAAGGCTGGGTAAGCAGTAGAGGTCGATACTCGACGCGTCCCACATGGTCTGTGTCGCTGTCGGCACGCTGTCGACAGGACGTCGAGCGACACCGGTGGCAGTGCCACCCAGGAGTGGTCGGTCGGTCTCCCGTCATGAGAGAGCCACCATGTGATCCGTATGATGATTCCTGACAACCGCCTCAGTCAACTTTCGTCACAGTTCCCGCTCTGAGAGGAGCTGCGGGTCAGTTCGACAGCTGGAGCTGTGTCGCCGGCGTGCGGCGGCCTGCCTCCGGAGGTGCCTCTGAGGTGGACATTTTTTGGTCGCCGTGAGAGAACGCGTTCGAATTTTTACTCCGGAACTTCAACTCCGCACGCGCACCAACCAGGGCTACAATAGTGCCAGTGAGGCGGAGGCGCGAGTCGGAAGGCCGCGACCGTGAGTTGGTCCCCCAATTTTCCTACAATCGCTGTCGACCCAGCCACGTAACCGCCCTCGGCCGCTCGAGCGGCGCGTGCATTTTAAGTGTAAAGTTATATCTCTGGACTCTATAGAGAATCACGAACTCGAGGCAAACACGAAACACCGTGCACAAACACGACCGCAAGTTTGGCAGTCTCCCTGTCCAGTGGAGCTGCCCGCTCGTCCCGGCTAGCAAGTCTACACCGCGCCGCGAGAGCGGCGAGAGCGAGGCGGTGCCCCGCGCCGGCGCGCGACGCCCCGCCGCTCTCCGAGCCTCGGGTCGAACGACCCCCTACCTCTGCCCCCGGCGTCACCTCGCGGCGAGCACCGCCAGCTGCGTCTCGACGTTGCGCAGCTCCTCCTGCGCTGCCTCGAGCCGGGCGCGGTGCTCCGTCGCGTCGGCGAGCAGCCGGCGGCGGCGCGTCTGCAGCTGGAGGCGGATCTGGTGCATCGCCATCAGCCCGTCGGTCGAGCTGGAGATGCGCGCGCCGGGCGCCTCGCCCGACGTCATGTTGACGGCGTACGCGTCCTTGGCGAGCACGGGCGGAACCACGAAGTCGCCGTGCAGATCCGGGCAGCGCTCGAGCCCGGCGCCGATGCGGTGGCACTTTGCGAGCAGGTCGGCGGCGATCCGCTCCGAGACGAGCGAGTCGTGGCGGTAGTCCGGGTGCGAGAGCACGAACCGGCGCATCCACTGCGCCGGCGTGAGCAGCTCGCCCGAGGCGCGCGCGACGACGAAGTCGAGGTACTTGTTGATCGTGGCGAGGGTGGTGGTGTCCGTCTTGATGAGGTCGAGGTAGGTGAGGATCAGCGGCACGAGCCCCTTGAAGGAGCCCTTGCCCGCCATGATCTCGAAGAGGGAGAGGTCCTCCACGCCGGCCGTGCTGCCGCAGCAGCTCGACGCAGCGGCGCGCACCGCCTCGGCCAGGTCCGCCTAATGCCGCACCCGCCGCCGAGGTGAGGCTGCCGGCGGATCACGCAGCCGCGTGCGGTGCGGTCCCGCGCCTCCCGCTTGGTCGGCGAGGAGGGCGGCCGACGCGCGTGCGAGCCTGCGCGCGGCGGCGGGCAGGTGGGCGGCGGGGCGAGGGGGAGGGGAGGGGGGCGCTTATGCTCCGCACCGCTCGACGCGCCCGAGATGGGCGACTGGCGGAAGCAAAACTTGCCCTGGGTGACTGCGTCCCGCTCGGCGGCGCGGCGCATGTTGCAGTCGACGCACGAGATGGGCATGTAGAAGTTGAGGTTGAAGTAGAGGATGACGCGCGAGACGAGGACGACGAAGACGGTGAAGGCGGCGTTCTCGAAGTCGGTCAGCTGGACCTGCAGCGAGAGGGAGGCGGCTGTGAGAGGGAGGCGGCTGTGAGAGGGAGGCGGCTGTGACGACGGAACGAGGAGGCTGCGAGCGTGGCGAGGCCGCGCTGAAGCCGCCATCGACCGGGACTCGGTGCCGGAGATCTGGGGAGATCTGGGGAGATCTGGGGAGATCTGGGCAGATGTGCGCCTCCATCGACCGGAACTCGGTGCGCCAGCCGATGTGCGAGTCGCTCTTGGCGGGGGGCGGCTTCCAGCGCACGGTCTGCCAGTTGGTGGACTGGATGTTTTCGAAGTGGTCCGTCTCCCGCTCGTCGTCGAGCTCGACTCGCTCGCGGTAGATGACGAGCGGGTCGCGCACCTGCCCAGCCGGCCAGGCGGGGGTGCGGAGGTGCAGGGAGGGGGGGGGGTGTAGAGGTGCGCAGCAGGGAGGAGGTGCAGGGGTGCGCGGGGGTGCGCGGCAGAGGGGCGGCGAGAGGAGGGGAGGGAGGGGGGGGGGGGGGGGGCGCACGAAGAGGTGGGCGATGTGCTGCGCGAGGACCTCGTCGACCCCCGCCTGCGAGAGAGATGGGAGAGATGGGGAGAGAAGGGGAGAGATGGGACCTCGACTACCCCCGCCTTGCGTGGAGTGGCTCACGGCGAGTCAGCACACACACACATGAATAGACCTCTCTGTCCCGTCCTGCCCTTGTCTAGCCTGCGTGAGAGTGAGTCAGCACACACACATGAATAGAGCTCTCTGTCCCGTCCTGCCCTCCCCCGCCTGCGTGAGAGTGAGTCAGCACACACACATGAATAGAGCTCTCTGTCCCGTCCTGCCCTCCCCCGCCTGCGTGAGAGTGCGGTACGCCTCCTCGTCCATCGGGACCTGAGTGCGCAAGGGGGTTGGAGATGGTCCAGGGAAGGGAGGGGATGATGGCACGCCTCCTCCCCCCCTCCCGCGCCTCGAGGTCGTTCCGCCCCAAATCCTTCAAGGCTGCGCGGGTCGACGAGTCCTGCCCGTCCTGCCCGATGACGGTGTTGCAGATGTACGTCGAGATTGTCTCGTACCGTGACTTGTGCAGCCGCTTGGTCCCGTGCCCCGCCATCGCCGCGTGCCCGCCGCCGCCCTCGCCGCCGCCCGCCGCCACGCCCCGCTCCGCCGGCGTGCGGTCGTCGACGGACTGGGCGATGATGTCCCAGCGGACGTCGGTGTCGAGCAGCACGCCTTTGGAACATGTCTCGGACATGTCATGGACGTGTCGTGGACATGTCCCAGCGGACGTCGGTGTCGAGCAGCACACCGCGCGCGATGGGCGTGGCCGCGGTGAGGGCGAGCATGATCGGCCCGAGCACGGCCAGCTGGTCGTAGAGGTGGCGCGACTCGGATAGGTCCCGCGCCTGTGGGGCCGGGGGGGGGGGGGGGGGGCACGGGTGCCGTCTCTCTTCTAGGGAGGAACCTTCTCGGAAGGGCGCCCCTCGACTGGACAGGGGGCTTGCACGGCAGCAGCTGTGACTACTCATAGCTCTACAGGCGTCTCGCAGCTGTGACTGCGCGTCTAGCGGGGACGGGGCGCGGCCTGGAAGGTGACTTGCAGGCAGCAGCAGCCCATCCCAAAGGCCATCGCGTCCATGTACACCTCGTCCATCTCCAGCGCCTGGGCGCGGGGCGGCCTCGACGTGTCAGCGAGGTGCCGTGGCTCGCCGCGTGTGCGCCTCGCCCTCTTGCGGCGCCTCCTCCAGCGTCGCGGGCGGAGGGCAGCCCACAGGCCTGTTCACACCTCGAGGCGTGAAGCGTCTCTGCCACGGCGGCGTCTCGCGGCGGCGGCGCGCTCCTCGCAGCGTCGGGCGTCTTCTCGTCGCGGTAGCGCGGCACGCGAATGTCCACCTTTGAGCCGCGCCGCCGCTTGATGTTCTTGACGAGCGCCGCGAACCGCGGCGCCGGGTTGATGATCTCGTCGGGGACGAAGAGCGAGTCGGACAGGCCGGGCGTCGGGCGGGCGGGCGGGTCCGTGAAGGTGCCGACGCCCATGAGCGGGAAGCAGGGCAGCGTCGGGCAGATCTCGTCCTCGGCGAGGGCGGCGAGCAGCCGCGCGCGCCGCGTGCGCATATTCTTCTCGACGAGCAGCAGGTCGGTCGCGTAACCGGAGTACGGCATGCCCGGCGTCCCCTCGACCATCCAGCTGCCCCACTCAGGCACCCAGTTGCACTGCTGCCCGACGGGCACGCTGCGCTCGCCCTCCTGCAGCCCAGCGAGGATCTCGGCCCCACGGAGCGACAGCTTGACCGTGCCGCGCTCGGCGTCGAGCTTGAAGATGGCGTACTCCACCTCGTCGCCCCAGAGCAGCCGGTCACCCTCGATATCCTTGATGCGATTGTAGAGGTGGATGAACTGGGCGATGCCGTGCTCCCGCACGTACCGGATCACCTCGAGAGACTCGTCCCACTCGAGCGGCGTCGCGTCGAGCAGGAAGCCTGAAACGGCGGGGCGGGCTCCATGTCTGCTGTGCCGCATGCTCCGAGCGCGTGTGGGGAGACCAACGCAGGGTGTGGGGGGCAGGAGGTGAGGGCGAAAGGATTCACCCATGTCTCGAGGGGGGTGCGCCGCCCGTGGTCCGCCGTCAAGCCAAGGGAGGCGAGTGTGAAGAAGGTGTTGTCCGCTTGCTGCTGCTGCTGCTGCTGCTGCTGCTGCTGCTGCTGCTGCTAGTGCTGCTGCTCGCTCGCTCGCTTCTCTCTCTCTCTCTCTCGCGCGCGCTCTCTCTCTCTCTCTTCTCTCTCACTCTTCTCTCTCTCTCTCTCTCTCTCTCTCTCTCTCTCTCTCTCTCTGTTTCTTCTGTGAGTGACACATCTCTCTCTCTTCTCTCTCTCTCTCTCTAAAGAAAGAAAGAAAGAAAACACTGCTGCACTTGGGGTGGGACGACGGGGGTAGACCGTGCTGTTGCTGTGAACAGCTGGGGCACGCGCCTTATCTGGCCCGGCCCCTTGGGGACTTGCGGCTCGGATGCGACCTCTAACCGCGGGTCGCAGACCGTGCTCTCGGTGTCCGATGACATGGCGCCTCTTCACGATCAGCACGCCAGTCTGTTCACACCTCTCTTCCGTTCACTTCACGGAGTGACAGGGGTTCGTTACCCAGTTTAAGAAAGGCTTCAAGAAAACACACACACAGAAAAACACCCTCATTTACGAACGACCGGAGCCAGCGCGCTTGTGGCTTCCACTCACAAGCACGCTTTTCCACGTCTCCGTCCCCGCTCTACCTAAGGCTTGCCGCTCGAACCAATGGCGGTGGGGACGGAGGTGTCGCCTCCGTCCCCGCCGTGGAGGCAGCGCCTCTCTCCCCGCTCGACCTATAGCGGTCGGCGGACTCGAGTTCGAGTGGGGACGGCGGCTCATATTGCTAAATATAAAATTCCCCCACCCGGGTGGGGGAACATAAAAATACCTCAGGGTGCTGTGCGGGTGTGAATGCAAGAGCGCTGCGCTGAGAACGAGCAGCTCACCCCCTCAGTGGCTAGTTGGTGTACGCGGCGCGTTCCTGCTGTACATCCTAGCCGCTGCACATGCTTGGCTCGTTCCTGGCCATCTTCATGCATGCATCTGCTGGTACGGTGACGCAACCTCCGTCTGCTCACCACCTCAATCACGTGGGTGGGCGTCGGCGAGTGGTCACCCGGCGCTACGACACGACGAATGCGCGCAGAGGGTGAAAGACAGCCGCTGTCAGTGGCTTCGTGAAAAGGTCGGCCACTTGTCCCTGCGTTCGGATGTGGGTGAGCCTAACGCGCTTCGTATCCTTCACTTGCTCGCGCAGGAAGGCGATCTGAGTCGCCACATGTCGCATGCGTTTCGAGGAGGTGTTGCCCTCGCTAAGGAGCACGGCCGCCCTATTGTCGCAGAAGAGCGGCATTGTGCATCCGAGGTCCGACTTATTGCCCTTGTAGTCGGGTAGGTCCTCGGCCATGAACTTGATGGTGTCCGAGACCGCGATGGCCGCTTGTGTGGCCTTGGTCGCAATGGCATACTCGCCTTCGGACGATGAGGTGG